CACTATTTATCTATCAGCACTTTTATGTTAGACTATTAATGATCTGAGCAGATTCCTACTTTAACCACAGTGCTTTTTTTTAAGCATAAATCATCTCTACATAAATATCCTTTGTGAAAGAAAATTTAGAGCCCTCCATTTTAAAAAGCTTTCTTGCTTTGCATTAAACTCTAAAATATTTAATTTCAAAGTTATATTGATATTAAAACATAGATTCAGTCTTGTCTTAAAAGTGTATTACAATTTATTTCTTGCCATTTTTGTGTAAAATTTACAGAAAGAGTGTTACACCGTGCGCTCCAAAGGTAATGTCTCATTACTCTAAGGCTCTCTCTTTCTCTTTCTTTGCCTTTATCTCTTTAAGCCTGTTGTTATGTGCTTTGAAACATTTTAAGAAAATAAAAATAAAAAAGCTTTCTACTTGTTCTGTAAAGCAGCATTACATGTACAACAAGTATGTTTTATAGCTCATGGTTAATCCTGGGAAGTGTATTTTAATATTGGTGGCTTGTCTACTCTGTTTCTACAACATCTTCTGGTGGGAGAGTAGAGGGATTATAGTTTATATTATGGTTTTCAGTCTCCTTTCAGTACAGAACTAGTAATTTCTATATAAGGTCAAACGATTCTCTAATAGTGTAAAAATGTAGATTGTTCTTTGGAGTAACAGTGATATTTTTTGATTTCTAGGATTTACAAGGTTTAAATGAACTCTTGCCATGTACATTTTTAAGTAAATTTTAAGTGACAGGAGAAAATGGAAATGTATATATGTTGAAAAAGGTTTTATAACTGAAATGTTATTTGTGCTTGTTTCTCCCTTAGGTATGTTTTAATAAGCTTGTATAAACTTACACATTTATTATAGTCTCTGGCCTTCTTAAGGTTTTCACTTACTGAGTGTGTCACTACTACTTGGTTCTTTAAAGAGCTTTATAGTTTTGAAAGATGAATACAGTTAAGAGTTAGAGGGATGAAGACTGACGATGTGACCCAGTGGTAGTGCACTTGCCTAGCACTAGCATGTACATGGCCCTGGGTTCAATCCCTAGTGCCACAAACAACAACAACAACAAAAAGTTAATGGATAAGATCTCTTTGCCTGTTTTTGTAGTCTACACTGTACAAAATCATGTCCCCTGTCTTCTTATACCCCTTTTTTTGTAATTTAGTTAATGTTCTCAGTTCGTTCTTATAGACTTCAGCCCAATGCCAGTCAGCCTGCTTTACCTTGGGATTTCTACTCCTGGGATGTAGGCTTTAGAACCCTAGAAGGCTTCTTTTTGGTAATTCTTAATATGTAGTCCAGCCCAGTTAAAGTACACATTTACATTTCTGGATTCCAATTCTGGATCCCAGGTGCAGATGTGAGTAAATTAAATTATTTACATCACTTTAGGCACCATGGGCAGGCAGGCTGAAAGTTGTCTTCAAAAGAAAGAGGCAATTCTGTCTTTCTTTTCTTCACTACTACAAATAAAATACCAAGTTTATTTATCCTTCAGTTTTCATTTGAATTGAAAACAAAACTTGGGACTGGGAGTATGGCTCAGTGGAATAGTGTGTGGAGGACCTGGGTGCAGTCCCCCCACACCAAAAAAAAAAACAAAAAAACAAAAAACAAAAAACTTAAATGTCTTAATGATACGTATTCTATTCTCAAGTAGTATGTAACTGCATCACAGTAGTTTGCTAGGTTGTCTTATCTCACCAAAGGTTTGCCATAAGGTGGTTTTTTATTAGCCAAGATGGCAAATGGAATAGGACTTTGTGTGTTCTAGAAAAATCTGTAGGCTTTCCCCAATACTTGAATATCTGAACTATGAGAAAGGATCAAGTCAGGAAGAGGAACGTATCTAATCAACAATCCATTCATTGCTTTCATTTTTATGTATTTGAGACTGATCTCTTGAGAAATTTTTACATTTTTAGAAGCACTCTTTACACCTTTTATATATTGGAATCTGTCTAGCTTATGTAGTAGTCTCTTATTTTTAGTGTGCTTGGTAGAGTTTTATAATTATGGGAAGTACATTTCTATTATAAAATGATTATCCGTTTTTAATGCTAGTTTAATGATTAATAATTTAGGCATTAGTGGCTCACAATTCACTAGATTTTCTTTTCTTTTTTTTTTTTTTTTGCTGCCTGTTTTCATTTTTATAATTACATGGGCTTGAATTTTTAAATTCTCATTCTTCTAAGGAATATTTGAGACTTTTAGTTTTAAAACTCAAGATTTCCTTTAAAAGTTTGAAACTTAATTTTGACATTTAAATTTTTTAAAAATAACTGTAGTCATCTTACAGAACTGAATATGCTTAATGTAAGTATAAGCATTAAAATTTCTTTTACAGTAAAGTTTGGCATTGTTGCAAAGGCTAAATTTGTGTTTTAATGTACTTAGATGTCTTACACTTCCTCAAAATGAACATAGAAGTTTATATGGATGCTTCTAGTACAATTCATTGCTTTAGTGCAGCCTGATATCCAGTGACCTCTCTCTCAGATATCTGCTTTTCATTCTTATAAACTAAGATACTTGTGGTATATAATTCTGATTATCTGCTTTTGGATTTTTGCACTGCAATTCAAGCAGTTTGAAGATTTGTGAAAATGCTATGGGAAATCAGCTTGGGTTTAAAGTTCCTTAACCAAATATACCCCGTAGACTGTCCAAGAAGTTTGTGACTGTAGAAGAAGCTGATTGAGTATTTTCTGAGCAATAGAAATTTAAGGTCTATAGTGTCCATCATGACTTTGCTATCAAAATTGTTAGATGAAGATTTTTCTCCCCATTGCATTTTCAGAGTTACTGTAAGTGGCAGAATCTCACCTTGTGTGAGGAAAGGGGCAGGAAGTTCTGAAAACAGGACTCTGCCTGCCTAAAAGCTGCAGACTGACTCAGTATGAGAAATAATAAATAGAAGAACTCATCTAAATTTGTGCGATAAGTGTTGATCCCACTTTGCAATCCATAGGGGACACGATAGGTGCTTTTCCTTAAAAGTTTTGAGGTTTTTTTAATGTTTGTTTTTTGTTGTTTTGGATTTGAAAGTATTTTTAATTTTAATATGTATTTATGTTAATATTTGTGGATATAACTCAGATGAAACTTATTTCATATGTTCTACATATGCATATTATCTAATAGGTATGATTTTATAATTCATTATAATCTTGCTTTGATTTTTTTTTTCTTAGTAAAGTGGCTATTATTGCTGGTTTGGGGTCTTTAAGGTTAGATATTTATTATGTTTAACTTTTTCTCCATCTTTTTATCTTTACTTCTTTGTTCTCTACATGCTGTGTTTAAACCCTTCTGCTCTCTTCACCGGAACACATCGTTTTTGACATCATCTTTGTGTTGATGTTTATTACACAGTACTACAAAACCTGCTCCACACCTGGATGGGTAAGAGTTACATTCTTATGATCTTGGTGGTGGTTAGGGTAGCCAGTCATAAGGACACATTAGACTCTAGGTGTGTCCTCTGTGGATACTCTTGATGCTTGGTTCATCTCTTATAACCTTGCTCTTCAAGCATCACAAGGTGCAGTGGTTTTGAGGCACTATGCCTCTTATGTCACGGAAGGAATCTTTAACCTGTGCCTGTGGATGGGCTTCTTAGCCATGCAGTATTGAATATCCTTGGAAAGACAGTGTCTCAGTATTAAGTGCAGACTTTTTACCCTAAAATGGTTAAGAGCCATTATTAGAAAAGGAGAAAAACCCAGACTCAGTTTAATTGAGGCCAAATTTTTTTGTTGTTTCCTTTTATGAAACAGATTTCAAGTTTTCTTCCCCTTCTGGTGGCTTCATGCATCAAACACTTTCATTTTATTTTCAGGTCTTTGGCTGTGTCATTTATTAACAAGTTATCTTGATTACTATTCATAGGTTAGCTGTCATCAAACCAACAATTTCTTGAATTTATATTGTGACAGGGTACATGTTGTCTTTGGACTGGTTATTTCTGGATTTGAAGTCATAGAACAAATTGAAAATCTGAAAACTGATGCTGCAAGCAGACCTTATGCAGATGTGCGAGTTATTGACTGTGGGGTGCTCGCCACAAAATCAACAAAAGATGGTAAGAGCTTTGGGGACTAGAAGAGACTAGGATGCAGTGAAGAACTATAAAGACTAATTTATTTAAAGATACCTCCTTGATTGAAGGAGTGGACAAAACATATGAGTGGCATAACAATAACACTTGAGGCCTCTATATCATACCCTATTCCAGTCCATTAGCAAATCCTATCAAGTCTTACCTCCTCTTATTACTTTCCTTTGTTGCCAGCCGGATCCAGACCACCACTGTCTCATGCTGGATTTATAGCAATGGCTTCCTAATCTTTCACCTTGCCTCTGTCTCCATGTTCTCCTGTAATCTTTTCTCAGCAGCAGTACCCTAACTAGTCTCCTTGATTATATCCTTCTGTGGTTTGTTTGTAACAGCAACTAGAGTGATCCTTTTAACCACATTTCACATCCACGCCACTTCCACTCAGAACCCTCCAAAGGTTGCCTTCTCAGTTAACAGAACTGAAGTCTTTGCAGGGGTCTGTAAGGCTATGGACAATCTGCCTCTGCTGTCTTTTTGACCTCCTCATTCATTGCCTTTTAGCCACATTGACCTTTACTCAGACGTGCTAATCACTCAAGGGTTTTGTGCTGGCTGTTCTGTCTGTCTAGAACACTCTTGGTTAAGATATGCACCACCCCCTCCCTTTCTTTAGTTCTGTTCAGATGTCATCTTAAATTCCCCCTACTCTCTGTATTCCTTTTACACTGCTTTTTTTTTTCCTCAGTATTATCACTTGTTATAATACACAATTATTTATTTTCTTATCTCTCCTATTCTAATGTAGACTTCATGAGAATGAGGAACTTCATTACTTTAGAGTCTTGCAACCAATTGTATTATCAACTTATTAAAAAGTTTATTTAAATCTCTTTTTTAGTTTACTATACATAAAACAACTAGAATCGTATCTGATTTATTATAAACTATCATAATTTTACATAATCACATTTTTTACTCTTAAAGGTAGACAGGAATTCATTACTAATATTTTTGTTAATATTTATTAAAAGTTTTTGAGAAAAAAAGGAAGAAACCAACACATTCAGAAGACTCGGATTCCTCTTCCAGTTCCTCTTCATCTTCTGAATCATCTTCAGAAAGTGAAATTGAACATGGGAGAAGCAGAAGAAGGAAACATAAGAGGAGGCCAAAAGTTAAACATTCTAAAAGGAGAAGAAAGGAAGCAAGCAGCTCAGAAGAACCAAGGAGCAAACATATAATGAGCCCAAAAGGGTAAGTATGAAACACCAATTCAGTCTTAACTAAAACATCCGCTCACCCTGGAATGGGCAAAGTACATGTGACTATGTAAATCCAGTTTATTTCTAATGGATAACAAGGATAGCATTTTTTTTTAATTGTAACTAAATTGAAATCTGACATCTTGGAGGAGCATATGCATTTATATTCAAGATTTGTGTTTTTCCAGGTGAAAATAATTCCCGAAACTTGTAAAAAGAAAAATAAGTTAAGATCATTCAATAATTTTATTGTCAAAATTGTATTTCTCTGGGTTGATGTTTTATATGTTAAATTATACTACCCTTTGAGACTTGTAAGCTGTCAGTAGTTTTGCCATTAATGTCTAGTTTTCTGTGCTTTTATTATTTTGAAATTCAAGCATGACTCATCTTATTTGGTGACTTGTTTGATCCTTGACAGTCACTCTGAGAGGAGTGATACAAATGAGAAAAGATCAGTTGATTCAAACGCTAAACGAGAAAAGCCTGTAGTCCGCCCAGAAGAGATTCCTCCAGTGCCTGAGAACAGATTTTTACTGAGAAGAGATATGCCTGTGGTCACTGTGGAGCCTGAACCGTAAGTAGGATGACTAACTTTTGTACTTTTATTTCTCTGATAGACAATTCTTTTTTTTTTTTTCCCTCGCTTTTAACTCTTTATTCTTTTTAAATTTTTTTTATTTTTAAAATTTTATTTATATGTGACAGCAGAATGCATTACAATTCTTATTACACATATAGAGCATAGTTTTTCATATCTCTGGTTGTATACAAAGTATATTCATACCAATTCGTGTCTTCATACATGTACTTTGGATAATAATGTTCATCACATTCCATTATCATTTCTAACCCCATGCTCCCTTCCTTCTCTTCCCACTCTGATAGACAAATTTCATAGGCATATTACAGTTTCACATTCATTGACTGAATATAATCCATGTTCAGAACACTTTGGAAGATACTATAGGAGAAGCCAGATTAATAAATGACATGTACCTCACCTTTTAGAATTCACATTTGATGGTGCTGGGGTTGTGGCTCAGTGGTAGAGTGGAGAGGTTTTATTGGAGGTCTAGAAAAGATTTTATTACTGATCTTTTACCTTGACCTTTCATTTAAAGGGATGAGGTTTTAGTTATCAGAATAGAGGGTTAGTTGGACTCTGGGTCCAACTGAGGGATGAAATGTATTTTAACTTTAATACTGCAAAAGTAATAACATGGTGATTGGAGATAAATTTAATATCAGGGGCCAGGGTTGTGGCTCAGTGGCAGAGCACTTGCCTAGCATGCATGAGGCACTGGGTTTGATCCCTGGCACCTCATAAAAATAAAAACAAATAAAAATGAAGGTATTGTGTCCATTTACAACTAAAAACAAACCAAAAAATTATTAAAAAATTTAATATTTTGTTACAGTTGTTAAATTGGCTCATTGATAACTTGTCTGCATTATAAAAACTAATCTAAACTCTTTAGATTTGGTCTAAAAATACTAATGTATTTGTATATTAGGCTTGAATTAACAATTATTTAAAGAATTCATTGTATACAGAAATACATAATAGCTGGTATAATTGATAAATTCTATATGAATAGTTATTTTGAAAGCCAAGAATGTATGTAAGCGACCCTGTTTGTAGTTAGGTCTTCACATAAGGTTATTGTTCCATTCCTTTAAAAAATTGCGGCAAGGGCTGAGGCTGAGGCTGTTGGCTCAGTGGTAGCCCACTTGCCTGGTATATGTGAGGTACTGGGTTTGATACTCAGCACCATATATAAATAAATAAAATAAGGTCTATCAAAAACTTAAAAAAAAAATGGGGCAGGAAGGGATGCTGGAGATTGAACTCAGGGGCCTCACACGTTATGCAAGTGCTCTACCACTGATCTATACCTCCTGCTCACCGCAAATGTTGTATCAACAAAATGCAAAATATAATATAAAAAAACTTAACATCTCCCCCGCACCGATTACTGGGGATTGAACCAAGGGCCTAGCACATGTTAGGTAAGCATTCTACCACTGAGCTATGTCCCCATTCCTTTTAATTTTATTATAAGATAGGGTCTCGCTAAATTGCTCAGGCTGCTCTTAAACATATGATCCTCCTGCCCCATTCTGCTAAGTACCTGGGATCACAGGAGTGCACCACCGTGGCTGGCCTGAGTATCATTCTTTTTTTTTTTTTTTTTTTAAGGCAGGTCTTTTTTATGAGAAGAATAGAATTCTTTTGTGGGGGAGTGACTTCACTTAATTAGGGTCCAAAATTTCCTATTAAAGTAGATAATAGCATTCATCTGGTGATGCTGATTTGAAGTGAGATTTTATACATTTCAACTTTGAAAACATTTTTCATAAACATGAGTGATAGGCATAGTACTTGAAATCCTATGATGTGTGTGTGTGTGTGTGTGTGTGTGTGTGTGTGTGTTTGTGTGTGTTTTGCTGGGGATTGAACCTAAGGCCTGTACATGCTAGACAACCACTCTATCACTGTGATATACCTCAGCCCTTTTTTTTTTTTTTTTTTTTTTTTTGAGACAGGGTCTTGTAAGTTGCCCAACCTGGCCTCAAACTTGTTATCTTGTCATGTCAGCCTCCCTAGTAGTTGGGGTTACAGGTGCGCACCATTGCACCTAGCCTGACATACTCCTTGTAGCAGTGTAAAACAATGAGAGCACCACATTAGAAACAGCCTGAAAAAATAGGTGAAGAGATGGAAGTGGCTGTGTTTCAATAAATTTTTTTTATGAATATTAAAATCAGAATTTCAGGTGATTTTTCATGTTACAAAGTAATAGAAAACTGCACAAAAGCATAAATTCTGCATTGAAACATGGAGGGGGGAATGCCTAGCATTTGCTAATTTTTAATTTTCATAACTTCTTTTCTAGGAAGATTCCAGATGTTGCACCCATTGTAAGTGATCAAAAACCATCTGTATCAAAGTCTGGACGGAAGATTAAAGGAAGGGGTACAATTGTATGTGTGTTACGACTTTTCTTTTTTCAAATTACTTACCTAAACAGTAACTTTTTTTTAACCTATAAGTAAAATCCTAGCTTTGATTTTTGATTATAATACAAAAACCGTTCAAGGACTTAGTTGTAATTTCCATAGTTATGAGAAAGTACTGCTGTTGGGTCAAATTTTATGGCTGTGTTTGGATGAAACAATTAATTAAGGATGAAATGAACATGTGAAACAATTGTTGAGAATGTTGAGAAATCTTAGTATATTGAGTAATCTCAGGTAATGAATATAACTGTTAAGACTTTGAAGAGGAAGATTTCATATGGGTTTACAGGCAAACATCTGCCTTTCCCATCTCAAGGACTTATGTCTGAAATAACTTCAGATCATTGTTTTAGTACTTACATGATTGCCTTTGAAGTAATCTAAGATTGGATCTTTTACATGTCTCTGTCCTATAGCAGATTGTAATTGAGAGGCATTTTAAAAATAGTTTCTCTTCTTTTGTTTAAAGCGCTATCACACACCTCCAAGATCAAGATCCTGTTCTGAGTCAGATAATGATGACAGCAGTGAAACTCCTCCTCACTGGAAAGAGGAAATGCAGAGATTGAGAGCCTACAGACCACCTAGTGGAGAAAAATGGAGTAAAGGAGATAAGTAAGAGCTTTGAGAGGGCTGGGGATGTGGCTCAAGCGGTAGCGCGCCCGCCTGGTATGCGTGCGACCCGGGTTCGATCCTCAGCACCACATACCAACAAAGATGTTGTGTCCGCCGAGAACTAAAAAATAAATATTAAAAATTCTTTAAAAAAAAAAAAAAAGAGCTTTGAGAATAAGCACAATCCAGTGTCTGCTTTATTTAAATGTTAAGGCAATTATAGGCCTAATCCTGGACTTTTCAGTAAGATTTGTAGTCAGAGTTATACTGTGACCAGAGGGTGAAAGTAGTGCTGTTAACTAGGTGAGATGAATGGCTTTGGGAGCTTTTAAATCAAAATTCTGACTTCTCTCTATTGAATGTTTAAAGAACCCTTACTCAATTTTAGAAGTTATCAGGACTTCAAAATTATATTAGCTGGGTGTGGTGGCACATGCCTATAATTCCAGCTGCTCAGGTGGCTGAGGCAGGAGGATCGCAAGTTCAAAGCTAGCCTCAGCAACTTAAGTGAAGCCCACAGCAAAAAAAAACAAAACAAAAACAAAAACATGTTCTTTCCTAGCCATGTGTTTTAGTCACTGATGAATTAATTGGTTGATGGGAAAACCTATACCCAGTGTGTGCATTAATTTCTGTCCCCAGAGATGGTTGCATCTTTAGGAGTATACTTATCTCTTCATCTCAGAGATAACATCACAGTGGAATATCTGTGTTAGAAATGAGGCTGGTCCTGTAATAGCTAATGAAAAAATATACTGGGCTGGGTGGGTTTGTGACTCAGAGGTGGAGCGCTCACCTAGCATGCGTGAGGCGCTAGGTTTGATCCTCAGCACCACATAAAAATAAAGGTATTGTGTCCACTACAACTAAATAAATATTTAGGGGGAAAAAATACACACACACACACACACACACACACACACACCCACACCCACACCCCAAGGGGGCCTATGTAGTTCTTTGTGGGAAATTCTCTTTTTATTTGCAAGCATCTGACAGAGTCGCTTGCATTGGTAGAAGTAGAAAAAGGCAAACACCTGCTATGTTGGAGCAACGCACTAGAGCTCAGAGCTCTCAATTTTAAGCCCTGACATTACCACTAAAATCGTAAAGCCTCTGTCAGTTTTCTTATAATTTTTTCTTAATTTTTGTCTTGCATAACTTAATTACAGTCTTAGGGGATAGTCTTGATTACCTTTGTGAGGTAGAGAAAAAGCAAGTCATGCTAGCTGCTTAAGAAAAAGAGTTTTCTCTTAAAAAAAAAAAACTATAAGGGCTGGGTGTGTGACTCACTGAGTGGTAGAGGTCTTGCTGAACTGTGAGATCCAGGGGTCCCTCCCCAGTACCACACCAAAAAAATTAGATATCTTTCTGGTATCTGCAGAGACTCAACAAAATTGTTGGGGAACGTAGTTTGACTCTCCCTCAAAAATTGCTCTTAGTGCCCATGTTGGTGGTGCATCCCTATTATTCCGGTGATTTGGGAGACAGAGACAGAAAGATTGCAAGTTCAAGGTCAGCCGTAGCAATTAGCGAGACCCTGTCTCAAAAAGAGCCAAGGATATAGCTCAGTAGTAAAGTATCCCTGGTTTCATTCCCTAGTCCCCCCCCACTCCCCCCAAAAAAAAACATTGCTCCCAGTGAAAGAGTAGTGTTGAGTAGATCGCAGCCAGGAGCTTGGTATGTCACCTCTGCTCCTATGGTTGGTTTGATGGTTTGATTTTCATAGACATTTTCTATCAAATAGGAAATTCCTTGCTTAGATTAAAAAAAAAAAATTTGTAAGTGAATCTGTTAGTAGTTGTCATTTTTTTTCTCTGAAAGTATAAGGTCAAGACAAGGCCTGTAATTCTGATTCATGCTTTTACATGTGTTTAAAGTGTTGATGGAGTCAAGTACTTTGATGTCAACAGGAAATGTGTTTTAAAACATAGAAATATGCTTATAAATAACTACATGCATATTATGACCTTGTCTCTAGGTTAAGTGACCCCTGTTCAAGTCGATGGGATGAAAGAAGCTTGTCCCAGAGATCTAGATCATGGTCTTATAATGGATATTATTCAGATGTTAGTACAGCAAGACACTCTGATGGTCACCATAAGAAACGAAGAAAGGAAAAAAAGGTTAAGCATAAAAAGAAAGCAAAAAAGCAAAAACATTGCAGAAGACACAAACAGACTAAGAAGAGAAGAATTGTTGTACCTTCTGACATTGAATCCTCAAAATCTTCCACTCGACAAATGAAGTCCTCTTGTGATAGAGAAAGAAGATCTCGATCTTCCTCCTTTTCATCTCATCACTCATCTAAGAGGGACTGGTCTAAATCTGACAAGGATGACCAGAGCACTTCAACCCATTCCAGTAGAGATTCCTACAGATCCAAGTCTCATTCACGGTCTTATTCTAGAGGAAGCTCAAGATCAAGGACTGCATCAAAATCTTCATCACATTCTCAAAGTAGATCAAAGTCCAGGTCAAGTTCCAAGTCAGGGCGCCAAAGGACAGCATCAAAATCACCAAGAAGAACAGCTTCTCAGTTAAGTGAAAATAAACCAGTTAAAACAGAACCTTTAAGGGCAACAGTACCACAAAGTGAAAATGTAGTAGTACAGACAGTGGTAGCAGAAAATATTCCTGTAATACCGTTGAGTGACAGTCCCCCCCCTTCAAGGTGGAAACCTGGACAGAAACCCTGGAAGCCCTCTTATGAGCGAATTCAGGAAATGAAAGCAAAAGCAACCCATTTGTTGCCCATTCAAAGCACTTATAGTTCAGCAAACATTAAAGAGACTGGTGGTTCATCATCCTACCGTAAAAGAGAAAAAAATTCAGAAAGTGATCGGAGTGCTTATTCAAAATATAGTGATAGAAGTTCTGAAAGTTCACCAAGGTCAGGTAGCAGATCTTCTAGGAGTAGATCTTATTCTAGATCATATACAAGGTCACGTAGTCTAGCTAGTTCACGTTCAAGGTCTAGGTCTCCATCTTCTAGATCTCATTCACGAAGTAAGTACAGTGATCGTTCACCGTTCAGTAGATCATCTTCATACACTTCTGTTAGCAGTAATGATGAAAGACGAGCCAAGAGGAAATTCAGATCCAATGGGAAAAAAAATAATACTTCAAATAAAAGGCACAGCAGCAGCTCTGAAAAGACACTTCGCAGTAAATATGTCAAAGGTAGAGAGAAGTCTTCATGTCAGAGAAAGTATAGTGAAAGCAGGTCATCTTTAGATTATTCTTCAGACAGTGAACAGTCAAGTGTTCAGGTTACACAGTCAGTCCAAGAAAGAGAGAAGCAGGGCAAAATGGAAATAATGAACGACAAGCAGGAAAAAAGCAGAGATGAAGAGAAACCCAAGCCTGAACGGGAATGCCCTCGTACCAAAAAAAGAACTTTGAAAGAGAATCTTTCTGATCACTTTAGAAATGGCAGTAAGTCCAAAAGGAAGAATTATGCTGGGAGTAAATGGGACTCTGAGTCAAATTCAGAGCGAGAGAGAACTAAAAACAGTAAAGACGATTCCCGACGATCATCTGATAAGGAGGAAGGTGAGGCCACATCAGATTCTGAATCAGAGGTTAGTGAAAGTCACATCAGAGCAAAACCCAAGACAAAATCTTCAGCAAATACTTCACTGCCTGATGATACCAGTGCTTGGAAATCAAGTAAACGGCGGCCATCAACTTCTGATTCTGAGGGGTCCTGTTCCAACTCAGAAAACAATAAAGGAAAGCCACAGAAGCACAAACATGGGTCAAAGGAAAATCTTAGAAGGGAACACACTAAAAAAGCAAAAGAAAAACAGAAAGGGAAAAAGGAAAAAAAACACAAGGCTCCAAAACGAAAACAGGCATTTCACTGGCAGCCTCCACTAGAATTTGGTGAAGAGGAGGAGGAGGAGATTAATGAAAAGCAAGTTACTCAGGAATCAAAAGAAAAAACCCAAATTTCTGAAAACTGTGAAACCATAAAAGATCATATTCCAAAAACTGATAAATCCTGTGACGAGGGCAGCCTTTCAGGTAAACATAATACAATGACTACGTCATCGGGTCTTGACCAGCTTACTAAAGGTGATAGTAAGCCCAGCACTTGTCCCACTGCTTTAAATGCTGAGGAAAATGCTGCCAGTCCACCCCCAAACACCCAGCAGATTGAAGAAGGTGTTCCAAGTGGAACAGAGGATGTGCTTCAAACAGATGATAACATGGAGATTTGCACTCCTGATAGGAATTCCCCAGCCAAGGTAGAAGGGTCTTCCCCTCTAGCAAATTCAAGGCTTGACATCCCAGAGATAAGTGTGGTTCTAAAGCAGGACATACATATAGAACATCCTGAAACAGAGGAGCCAAAACAAGAAGGCAGTGTGTCTGAAAACAAAACCTTAGGGGAAGTGGGGAAACAGGACGGCAACTCTGTCAGCTTGCCCAGTGCTGTAGAAAGTACTGGGAAGAAGGAGGTAGCTGAGAAGAGCCAGATCCACCTCACAGATAATAAATGGAAGCCTCTGCAAGGTGTGGGGAACCTGGCAGCACCTACAGCCACGACATCTAGTGCCATAGAAGTAAAGGCGTTGACTGCTGTACCTGAATTGAAACCTCAGGGCTTGAGAATAGAAATTAAAAGCAAAAATAAAGTTCGGCCTGGGTCTCTGTTTGATGAAGTAAGGAAGACAGCTCGCCTAAACCGGAGGCCAAGAAATCAGGAGAGTTCAAGTGATGAACAGACGCCTAGTCGGGATGGTGATAGTCAGTCCAGGAGTCCAAGTAGATCTCGAAGTAAATCTGAAACCAAATCACGACACAGAACAAGGTCTGTCTCCTATAGTCACTCTAGAAGTCGATCAAGAAGTTCTACATCATCTTATCGGTAAGCAGTATTCTCTTTCCCTTTTTTTTCCCTTCCAAGGAAAAACGTAGCTGGGAAAAAAACGTAAGAGTTAGGGAAGAGATTACTATTTCC